GAGCCGATTCCTTAGAGGCAAACCTGGAAATTTTAGGATTGTACAGAAACTTGACGGCGCTTGACTGGACTCATGTTGAATAATAAAGCAGCTTCTGTCTCAGTGAACTTGTGTTTCTTCTTTGGCAACTTCTGAAAGGTGTGTGTGTGTGTGTGTGTGTGTGTGTGTGGCTGGGTGGGTGGGTTCGGCTTTGGTGACATTTGGGGGCAATTTTAAGGAAAAAAATCCTACATTTGGGGACAACTGGTGCATTTGGGGATAAAAGGCGTGTCCCCATTTGGTTTAAATGCCATTGGTGGGTTGGGGGTTGGGTTTAGGACCAAGGTTTGAATTGAGTTTAGGTTAGTTTTAGGGTCAGGTAGGTACCTGTGAGGTTAGCCTTACCCCTAATTTACACTACATGCGTTTCGGCTCAGCTCGGCTCCGGTCCGACCTCCGCAGCAAATATGCACCCATTATAATCAATGAGTGTTTACATTGGCTCCGCACGTCGGAGGTGAGCGGACAGCGAGCCGGCAAAATTAGAACAGATCCTATTTCTGCCGGTCTCCGGAGCTGCGCCGGAGTCAATTTTTAAAGATTACGTCGCACCAACAGGAAGAGGAACAAGCACAACATCCGTATTTTCAAAATAAGACACTATTAGGTGGAATAATTTGTCAAAATAATGTCGAAATTGCAGCTATATTAATAAATATACGGATATATTTCTACAAAAATGCTGTCAGAATGTATCGTTCTGTTTGGGAAGCAGATGGCAACATGTAGATGCGTGCACACACACGATACACGTGGATTTTATTTTGAAATCAGACGTTTCAAAAAAGACGACAGAGATACAGTTTCAACCACATCAATGTTTTCAGCTGTGTTTGGAGTTCATCTTTCACAGAATTAATTATTTTTATCACTGGATTTATCGCATGATCTCCTTCCTGCACATGCTCCTCCTCTGTGTGTCGCACCGGAGCAAAGCGGAGGCTGTATGAATTGGGACACAAACGAACAGCTGCGAACTGCGCAGACGCATGTAGTGTAAATTCGAGGTTAAGGTTTGTGGTCAGGGTTAGGCTGTAGAAAAGTAATGGAAGTCAATGGAATGTCCCCAAATGTATAGCTGGGCAAACGTGTGTGTGTGTGTGTGTGTGTGTGTGTGTGTCGGGAAAGTCGATCAACTTAAGCTGCAACAGATGGGAGTCTATGCACACATGTCAAAAAGTGAGCATACAAAAGAGGGGCTTTATGTCTGTGTGCATCCAGCCAAATTCAACTCTGCTCCAGAGCCAATGAGACACAATAACACCATCACCGGGCTAATTGCTATGGCAACGCTTGAGCTCTGCCATTAGTCAACGGTGCGGTGGTGATATCAGAGCTTGACGTCTCTTTGCCACCCTCTCAATCTCACAGCGTCTTTACTAAGCAGCGATGTTGCTTTCGGTGACCATCTGTGTGTTTGTGTGTGTGTCTGCAGGGAAGAAAGAGGAAGAAAATGAAGGAGAGCTGTTATGAAACTATTATAAAACAAAAGAAGTAAAGATGTCCGGAACAAGRACACGCTGAGATGAAAGAGGGCAGACTGTGAGGGAATGCAGAACGTGCACGCCTGCGTTTATCTCACAGGACGCTGAAAATGTTGCTCTCCACGTTCTCCTTCCCCCTCGTTCTCGCGAACACACGCGCCGCACCGTCTGCAGGGTGGGGGGGGACAGGCGGCTGAGGCGCTGCGACGTGACGACAGGGTAGTAAAAAAGGTTGCCATGGTTACCCAGTGGCGGTAGAAGGCGGCGAGCTGCTGGCGCTCGGAGCCGGCTGATTGGATGGCGCTCCACTCGTGCGCCGTGAACTGGCGAGTCATGACGCGGAAAAAGTCCGGCACGGAGCTGCTACCTGCAGGAAGAGATGGGTGGGGTTGTGTGTGTGTGTGCATGTACAGGTGCAACAGCAGACAGTAAAATATGGTCAAGAGCAAAATAAATATTCAAAACACATATAAACAACAATAACACAACTGTCAGAGGGTATTCAAAAATGAAAGCCCAAATAATCTGCAGCTCTAAGTTCTCAGCTAAACATTTATTTTCTAATTTGAAACCTCCATCTCACCCTGAGCCTCTGTGGCCCTTTGCAACTCGCATCCTTCATCACAACACACCTTTTATTGGTTTCCCCAGAACTGAAAAATGACTTCATCGAAGGAGGAGACACGACCTCACTTATCAGGTGACCCAGTTCTCAATCAAAAAACTACTGAAATCTCAGATGTAAAATCATTACGTGTCTGACTGTGTTGTATCAAAGCAAGGCGTTTAAYGAGATAATCCCCCAGAACAACAACTTAATCACAGTACAAATAAACAGATTGGTTGTAAAAATATTCTAAACATCTCAAACATACATTTGTATATGTGAAATGYATTTAAGACTGTGCAAAATTAATACATTTTCCTTCACAACTCTGAATGAAAGAGTGGTTAGGCATAGAACCAAATTTTAAGCCGCAATCTGCTCTGGTCAAGAATTTTGTGTGCATTTCTTAGGCAACAGTGACCTCTTGTGGTTAAATTAAGAACTACAACAGCATGTCAAAAAAATAATAAACAAGTCAGAATAAATACATTCAGCTGCTGGCTGGATTAAAATTTACTAGAATGAGAGAAATGTACAGCTAAGAGATACTTGTACTTCATGTAAACACAGAACAAAATTAATTATTAGTTATTAGCCAGACAAAAGTTTTTAATGGATGTTATTATCTATGTGTTCTGTACATATTTAGCCCTTACCTGGCATAGTGATCTTCATCACATCCACTCCCACCTGCAGCCCCTGCTCTGCAGCCAGCACAGCATAGTCTCCTTGGTGGGAGATGTTGAAACTCCAGGACCAATCTGAACCTGAACTGACCTGTATTTTTTTTAAAGGGGAGTCTCAGACTGATGTTTCCTGACAAATGTGCAATAACACTGGAGTGCAAATGTGGCATACTTTGGAGCCACCTGTGTGACATTTTAGGTCAATGTGTTTGAGCAGAACTGGGCACATCAAGAACGTTATAAATGTGATAATATAGGAATACTGGATCCCACGTCTTTGTTTTTACAAAGTTTTGACAGTGTAATAACATTGTTTACAGGAGAAAATCATATTGGCAATCAATCAATCAATCAGTCAATATCTGAGTCCACCTTTGCTGGAGCAGCCAGGAATGGTTTCCCTCTGGAGGATCTCTGTAATCTGATCTCAGACCAGGGGATCCCCATCTTCTCACACACCAACTTCCTGAGCAACAGACGCCCAGCCTGTTGGGTTGCGGAGGCACACATTCAGAAGTGATTAATGATTGGTAAAGATAAATAAGAATCAGACATAACAGTTCGGACTCACCATGGCTGACTTAGCATCCTTGGCGAAAACAAACTGTCTGATTCTTTCTTTCTCCTCCGGCTGGACGCAGCGAGCAGCGAACAGCCACTCGGACCTACTCGGCGTCCACGATCCACATCGGAAAGCCCAGCGGACAGAGCCCATCTCTTCAATACCTCCGTGTCATCTTATCTGGACTCCTCAGTAACTTCCAGCTACTTTCGCCTCAAGTTTAAAAGTGGCTAACGTTAGCATCCGCTGAAAATACGTAAAGTTTGCCTGACAAACCGGAAATGTTTTACCTCCGACGTGTAAGGTCGTCGCAGGGCACTATTACAGTTGTAGCGAATCAAGTTTCTTTAAAGAAAGTACACACAATACAGCACAAAGCAGCTTTCTGTTTGTATTTTGGCTCTGAGAGAGCAGCGAGCATCCCGGAACAGCCCAACGATGTCGTCATCAGTGGGCGCGGTGCACAACTGACCAATCAGAGCAGCGCAAGCAGTGGGCTACCAGTGATGCCTTCACGTGTTTTGTGAAAAAGTAAAATATATTGTCAAAATAGGGTTAAATTCATCTAAATTTGTCTAAAGTTTTTTTTTAAAACGTTCTCTAAAGATTAGCAAGACTTTTGAAGAAAATCATTCAACTTTCCCAAAATGGTTCTTACTGCAATCCTTCCAATAGGTGTGAAAATAGTTATTTTTTGTCAGGCCTCCATGCTAAAAATTAAACTGAATTCGTACTCTGTGCAGTTGAAGACTAAACAGAATGATAATATACAAATACATATGTCTAATTTTAAAACGTAAAATGAAATGTTTGATTAAACCCTTTAAATAATTTACATATTGTACATTAGTTTTAACATGTCCGACTAACTTTGAAAGCACCGTTAGAATTGTAATTTCAGCGATGTTATGATTGCGGTTCATGTGTGTGGTTAAGGTGAGTGTTTTCAGATTATGCTTTTAGGATGTGGCGGAAAAATAATAGCATATTGCTGACTGTGATGATAATGTTGTTTTATATTCCTTTGTTCAGACAAAAAAAAAAAAAAAAAAAAAAAACCCTGAGATATCCCTCGAACAAAATCTTATTTTCACCAGAAAAATATTTGGGAGATAAGACATTGTTTACATCATAGGCTACTTGCAGAATGTATTTTGCCTGATTGTGCCAAATTTACTTATGATAACACATKGCTTGTGTGCAACATTTTAATTTTTTAATAATTAGTTTGTTAATAGACAAATAGGCAATGGAAAACAATTTGTTCATTTTGCTGCACACACACACAAGAACTATTCCTTGGTGTCAACATTATGCTCAATAATGTGGTAAAATTTCAAATTCAGTTTTGATTTTGGCAAATGCGGCAGCTCTGCAATTCCTACTTCACTACTGCAACAATAATTATTTACAGGATTTCCCATTTAAAGAGAAAAATTGCTAACCTTACATTTTCAATGAATTTCTAAGAAATTCTGCAGAATGAAACGTGCAGAAAGTATTTCAATGCACTTACTGTAACATTTAAGGTCGTCTGAGTCAAGATGGCTGTCACAGCCAGCTAACCTTAAAAACACAAAACATGTCTATAACTTTTATTATTACAGATATTCTCCTGAAATCTGATTAGCATTTGCAGCTAATTCCTAATCAGATTATGTTATGTCAATAGAGTAAAACTGGGATTCTAAAAGTTATAGATCCTTACCAACCACATAAAGTAGTTCTTGCTGTTCGTGTTCTGGGAGGACTGGAGAATCCTTTCGGCCTGAGATGCCTCAGTTGACCTGCAGCCACACAGATCAGAAACTAAAAGGAGGAAGCCCCCTGTCATTCTCATCAGAACAACCCCCCACMTTTCTGTTTCCACATCAAATCTTATCAAGGCAGAAAACTGAACCCTCGCATGCAAACCGAGAGCAAAAAAAAAAAAAGTCTGTTTAGATGATGTTCACTCCCAGCCTACCTGCTGCGATATCTGCACTCTGCACAGTTCTTTCCAGCTGATATTTCCTTAACTCCGTCTCTCACATGTCCCCACACAGAGACAGCATCCAGTGGAACAGCTGGTGTTTGTCTCCCAGGACGTGGAAGAACTTCCCTCAGACTGTTTGAGTCACAAAGGAAGTCCTCACTGATGGAAACAGCTCTGCGTGTCAAACATCCTCACTGTTTGACATCTGAGGATTAAACCCCGCTTTCATTTCTTACCTGTGATCCATCTCTCTGTTCAGTCTCTCCTCTTCCATCCCATACTGCATCCCTCGCTCTCATTTTCCTCTTGTGTTTTTGCTTCCCCTCCTTTATTATTTCTCTTCCATTTCATTTGTCTTTTTATTTCYGTGGGGTTTTGTTCCACCGACGTCGCGCCAAGCTGGATTTCCTGCAGGTAAAGCATCCGAGGAGGAAGAGGAAGAGCAACTACAGCGTGAGGGAAACACAGACCCTCATCAGGGAGATCCATAAGAGGAGAGACGTGTTGTTCTCCAGACAGCAGGTGTAGATCTCCTCTTCTATTTTGAAAAAAAAAAAAAGTTTAAAGCTCAGGTTTTGTTTGAGTCTAAATCAGCAAACCTTTATTAGAAAACGTCCGTGATGCAGTCACTCTGCGTGTTGGCCAGAGAGTGATAATAAATTGTGTTTTTAATCATTTAGATGCACTTTTTCATCATTAACCTTCCAACTTGTCTGTTTTTAGTTGAAAGTTGTTGACAAATACCTTGGTCAACCCAATTCAAGACAGCAGTCACAAATAAGTTAATAAAGTTTGGAGATATTGAGGTAAAGTTTGGTGAAAGTCATCATCAAAACATAATCTAAGCACTATCTTATTTATAAAATTTGACCAAAATGGCTGGAACTCTTTCTTGCCATAAAATGATTTTAGTTTAAAACTCTGGTGTGAAAGGCAGCAGGTGTTATGCATACCCTCAATACCTTTAGTTTAAAAGGATTTTAATCATCACTGTATGGAAGAAAATTATTAGAATTTTACAACATTTGTATATAATTTTCATCAGAAAAAAAACCTATTCATTTAAATTTTTTAGGATTTCTGCCAATCATTTGACTATTTTTTTCCTTCCAGCCTGCATTACTCATATTTTTCACAGCCCATCAAGCGCTCCCTCCGTTCCCACAGAACTAATGCTGTGACGTTAATAATTCGTGTTAGAAGTGTTTGAATAAAACAGCTTTAATTGTTTGTTCTTGTTGTTCTCCTCTCTGAACAGAACACAGCAGTTAATGAGCTGAAGAGACAGGCATGGGAAGAAGTGGCGCAGGGTGTGAATGCATTAGGGGAGCGGGAGACGCGCACTGCTACTGAGGTGCTTTTGTCTCTAAAGAAACTTTTATTAGTTAATAGTTAATATTGCTTCTGTTTTTATCCACTGAGTCCTTTCCCTGCGGGTCTTCCTCTGCAGGTGAAGCGTCGGTACCTGGACTGGCGTGCGCTGATGAAGAAGAAAGAGCTGAGGGCTGAGCTCAACCTCTCCCCGTCCTCCTCTTCCTCTCTGACGGTGAAGACTGAGTGTGATCAGTCCTCACCGGAGCACGAGGCGGCTCCTCAAGGCTCGGATCAGCTGCTGGAGCTCCCAGGCTTCCAGAGGGATTGTCAGAGCGACTGGCCGGAGCTGGTGGGGGTCAGTGAGCCGAGCACCGGGCAGTCAGTGACGACACATCCGGGGATGAAAGTAGAGGATGACATCATTGATTACAAAGTATGAAATTCAAAGAAGACTTGACTAAAACAGTTTCCCTTGTAAGAAATTATTCAAACTGAACTTTTTAATTGCATGCAAATGAGGTCTGCAGTATATGCTAATATTGTTTGGGAACAAGTGTAAATAACGTGTTAATAAGCTGAATTAATGTATTCATCAGCAGTAATTATGCAGCATTTTATGTAGATCAAGTAGGTTAACCTGTTGTTTGAGATCCCATAACCTTCTAAAATAGGAATTAAATTATCTAAATAGTAGTTTAATTAGGATCAAATCAGAGTTGGACATATTGTAAATACATTCATTTATGTTTTCTAATTCCATTGTTTCATGTAGGAAAAAAAAATCCCTCCTTCCATCAGATAAAAAAGGTTCTTCCTATTGATTTCATCAGGAACATTTCTAACTTTGAGTTTCCTGTACGGTTCTAGAAAATATGGAATTTGTTATTAGATAAAAGTGTGAAAGACACTTGATTTTGTTCCATTGTTACATTTTCTAATAATTAAAAATCATGTTACCAGTGCCGCAACAGCAGTGACAGAACAGTTTTTGACCTCAGATTAAAAAAAAAAAAAAAAAAAACCATCAAGTTCATTATAAAAGTTTAGTAATCTGTAATAGGAAATGAGAAAAACAGCTAAAAGCTAAGACCAGAAAAACAGTAGCTAAAGCCTATGAACAGAAATACTGTACGTAAGCTAAAAGGTAAGGTTTTCAAAACCTTCCAGACATTAGCTAAAGGGTAAGACCAGAAAAACAGTAGCTAAATGCTAGAGCCCGTTCTCATGCTCCTCGCGTCAAGGTATTGACGCTTGACCAAGCATCATTCTGTTGATGCACGGGGGCTTCTGTTCTGTACGAGATGAGGCGGAGGAGGATGTTTTTACAAGACTCGAATTACGTGAATCTAACCATCCTACACCTGAAATTTAACTTCTACTAGCCTTATAGAGCCTAACCCTGACCACAGACCCTAACGTTAACCATTAACCCTGATTGCTCATGTTAACCACAGACGTCACACAAACCCAGAAAAGCCATGGGCGGCAAGGATGCGTCAATATGTTACGAGTCTGACATGAGAACATGTTAAATGCTAAGACCATCAAAACAATAGCTAAAATCTTCAAAAGATTAGCAACAAACTGACAGTAAGTTTAGACTGGTAAAACAGCAGCTATAAGCTTAAACTAGCAAAAACAATAGCTAAAAATTCAAAAACAAAGTAAGTTTTTAAAGGGTTTAAAGAGTTTTCTATTCATTGCAATTATGTAAAAATGATGTAAAAAACTATGTAGTAAAATGTTTTAAAAGGTATAAAAGGTAAAACCAAATGTGCTCTGAACAAGCTAAACCTTCTAAACAGCTGGTTAAAACAGCTGAAATGAAGCTGAAGTATATTGTCCAAAAGCCTAGAGAAAAAACTGTGAGCAGGGAAAAAATGTGTGAGTAATGATAAATATTATTAGATGTTTAGTGAGTGTTTCTGTTTTCTCAGTGAGATTAGTTATTTTCACGAGAAATGTGAGTTTTAACGTTATTGTTCTCATTTCGTTTGCTCCTGGAGCTGGACAGGGATGCTGGAGACGCAGACATGGATGACGTGGACATTCCGTCTCTCCTCAGTGACATTGAGTCATGCGGGGAGGGACACGCTGATGACGTGTTCCCCCACAATAATCTGAACCTGCTCAGCTCCTCCAAAGACCTGATCACCACCACCACCAGGTGTCTGCTGCCGGTCGGCGGCCTGGCAGGACCGGGCGAGGATCAGGAGAGCTCGGGCGCAGGATCTCTTCTCGCCGTTGAGAAACAGCGGCTGGAGATGGAAAAGCAGCGGCTGGCCGTGGAGACGGAGCGCCTCGCCGTGGAGAAGGAGCGTCTGCAGGTGGAGAGGGAGCGTCTGCGTCAGGTGGAGGTGGAGCGGGAGCGGCTCCTGGTGGAGAGGGAGCGGCTGAGGCTCCTGCTCACGAGCCGGTCCGAGCACATCCAGGGCCCGCCGTCCTCCACCGCCGCGTCTTTGTTCTACACTCACGGCGAGGCGGAGGAGAACAGCTGGGTGTCGGCCGTGAACCTGGAGGCGGCAAGGATGAATCTGGAGCGGGAGAGGCTGCTGCTCTTTAAATTCGAGGCAGGCAGGCTGCAGATTGAAAAGGAGCGCCTGCAGGTGGAGAAAGACAGAATGCGACTGCACAAAGACCACCAGCCTGTCAAATCCTGATAAGTAACGCTTCAACGTTTCCTCACATACTGAAAGTGCTTAACAAAAACATAAGACATCTGAATATTTACTCCAAATTAAATAATTTGGCTCAGGAGAAGCTGAGAACGGAGGCTCGRCATGTTTAAATGACAGAGCAAGAACTTTTGATGTTTTCAAAAAACGTGTGATGAGGCAAAAATGATGCCATGTTGGTCAAATTTAACCTAAACAGTATTAAACAAATGAAATTTCCACCAGCTGCCAGAACYCAGAGCCCTGCCCAGCACACAAAATGAACGTGGTAAGTTGTTGCTGTTTATTCAGCTGCTGCCTTCTGCATGGGTTGCCACAGCCAATGAAATTGCAGGAAAGATTTGTCAGTTGGGTTTTACACTGGATGTCCATCCTGATGTAATCTGGGCTCAAACCTGCAGCCTCAACATTACAAGTCCCAACCACACACCCCCAACTTCAAACCAGTTTTTATTTCATTTTTCTCAAAGCCTAACCAAAATGATTTCTGTCACATATTGCAGATGTTAATAAATGAACCCATTTCAACCTGAGCTTTTCTTCGCTGGACATCATCTGATCATCTTGTATGGACTCTTCTCAGTGGTCCTGAAATTTTGAAGACTGTAAAAGATGCAGCAGCAACGACAACAACAGTGGTGCTGAGAGTTTTGTGTGCTGAGAAAGTTTGGTTTTAATTTTCCTTTCGTCCAAGAAAAAAAAAAACAACAACAACACAGGAAGGCATTTATGACAGGATCAGATCTGTGCACGAAAAATCAAGATCGGAGATCTGTTCCCCAGAAAGGAGGGGAAGAGAGAGAAAGAAAGAGATGCAAAAAAAAAATGGAGATTTAATATGACGGGAGGAGGGAGGGTGAAGAGAACAAGAACAGAAATAACGAGTGGGAGCAGACGAGAGACGAGGAAGGGCAGAACAGAAGGTAGAGATGAGAAGATGGATGAGATGAACAGGGCCAATAAAACTTAAAGGGTGAAAAGGCTGAGTTCACTCTGCAAGGGCAGTCAAAGAGGTGGTGTGTGTGTGTGTGTGTGTGTGTGCATTTGCACATAAAGGTGCAAGGTTAAAAGGGTGGCAGGACGTCCTCGAAACGGTTATTTTGCTTCATCCTCGGGTAAATGGGAAATACTTGTCAGTAATAAGCCAGCATGGTGTGTGTGAGTGCATGTGTCTGTGTTTGTGTGTCAGAGTGTGAGGTAGAAGGGAATTGCTTGTGATGGCTCTGCATTAGGAGTGTTGGGTCCCTGAAGAATTGAAAAGCGAGCCCAAATGACAAAGTCACAGCAGGGAGTCTTCAGAATGATGACAGTGCAGCAGAGACTGCAGCAAGGACTCAGCTGGGTGAGAGTTTTCACAAACACAGACCTTCACCGTACAGAAACACAATTTATCCTTGAGCATTTATTAAAATGTTTGTGGTTTTGTTAGTGAGCCTAAATCAAAAGACACCACCACCCCATTTTTTAAATTTTACCCTGTCCAGTGTTCTGAAGGGGAATAGTTTATGGACCCTATCCTCGACGACACATATGGTCCATGGACAGACTTCCAATTTTAAGCAGGGTCAAATAACAGAAGCTATTTTTCTGTCACTGGTACTTCAAAACACAGTAATTCAAAAGGCATGTGTTTTAGTAAAGTAATCATGAACTACTAAATATAGCTTCGCTCAGGGCCGGCCCTAGCTAATTTAGCTAGGGCCAAACATGCATGACTCATTCATGCATGTTTGAGAAATCCTGCAGTGTTTTTAGGCAGCAATGCTGAGGAGTAAAACGACAGGTGGGGACCAGAAACGCCTCTGGGACGTGTCTTTAAGCCGAGCTTCCTCATCACGGAGCACACCTCCCCACCCCCCACCCTACACACCCCGCCCATGACTCCTGCAGGCTCTCGGCAGTAACAGAGCAAAGTGAAAGTGAAACTTAAACTGTCTGCTACGGGACGGAAGCAGAAGGTGGTTCTTAAAGAGACAGAGGCCAATTTCAAGGCGGTTTAGAAGAGGAAGTGATGAGAAGATAAGTTTATTTTCTATTTAAACATAAAAACAGCATTTTAATAACAACTAAAGGTGACATAGATACTTTATTATGGTATAGTATTTAAATGTATGCCTGAGAAACACTTAACATTGCCCCTTTAATAAGCCAGGTTGTCCAATGAAAACAGTTAAAAATATAATTAATTAGACATCATACCTGCCAACTTTCAGCATCATGTTTTACATTTGCTAATGGAGAGTGTTACAGGTGATTATCCTGTGTGAAGCTGTTTKAACAAGAATAACTCAAAAAATCACAATAGTTATAAGGTAAATAATGATTAGTTTTGATTAGTTAGCAAAGCAAAACAAAATCTTGGTTATTTCTTATGTTTTACTCATTTATTATTTACTGGGGACAATGCTTGCCTACCTATTTATTTTTAATACTGTTTATATTCATGTGAACCCATTTTCATCATACAGTATGTGTTTCATAATGCATTTTGTATTTTTAAACTAAACAGACAAATCAGTTAGAAAAAACACAAGAGACTGCAGATTGAGCATTGATGTTTTACTAGAAAAAGAAACAAAAATGGGAAGAAAGACGATAAGAAAGAAGGGAAGCATGTTAAAGCCAATGTGTTGACAGCTCAGTGATCAGCTTTATGCTGTCGACCAATGAAAATGTGTGTGACAAAGATGAGGGAAAAACAAACAAACAAACAAACAAAAAACAAAAATAAAAACAGTTTCCACAGCCCCCCCCCCCCCCCAAAAAAAAAAAAAAATAAATCCACAGTGCTGCTGTACTGGTAATCCCCTGGGCTAACAGCTGTTTTTGAACTCAGCCAGATTTATTCAGCTGTTTGAAATAATCCCTTTATTTTAAATTGACAATCTTGATCGTGGATTCGGACAAGAATAGATCTGATGCAGGATTAATGGGTGATGAGGGGAAACCAATCAGCCACAATATTAAAAACACAGACAGGTGAAGAAAACACCAGCTTGTTTTGTTGCAAGACAATGCTTTTTTCTTTACCTTGCGCCACACATCTAAACACCCTCACGTTTACATCACTCCTGACTGTTGCAGCCTTTCCAAAAGGACAATTTCAAGTAGTTAAGATAAAAAAATCTATTATCACAGGAGTTTCATTCAAAATTAAAGTGACTTTAATGCAGCAAGTGTTCTTTATAAAGTGAGGTCCTGCGAAAATGTTAACAAATACTATCTTACCTGTTGTGGATAGCTCTTTGAATGGCCTAAATTTGGAGAAATAGTTTGATTCTGACTAGACTGACTGAGAAGCGAACCAAAGTGGATTTCTGCTGCCTTCAACTGCCAATCATCCCCATTTCATAGGAATTTCAGCAAGTACTCTTTTAAACATTTACATTGCCGCTACCTTTTAATTACTCTCTTATTTACATAGAATTCTAAATATTCATCAAACAGTGTTAGTAGCTGCAGCTAGTTGTAGCTCTTTTGCCAAAATAACCATAAAATGTGAAACTGGCAGCAATGCAAAAGCCTAAATATAGTTCACATGAACCATAAAGCTGGTTCTCCAAACTTAGGATGCGGCGTATCTAAAACAGGTTGGATATTAAATGTTAAAAAGAACGCCACAATAAAAAGCATGAACTATATCAAATAAACAGCTTCAAGACGAACCTCAGATTGTCAATTTGGATTTACACTTTTTATCTTTCTCCACGTTTTGCAGAGAATTTAGGCAGGTAACAAAGTTACTTATCATATTTAAAGCGCATTTACAGAGATTTTTCTTGTGTTTTTAGAGGGTAAATGAGCAAAGTCCATAAGTTGGACAAAACTGGAATTACAAATATATAT